TCATTACAACCTTAAGAGTTTCACGACTACGCTAATCGAGCCAGGTAGGAGCCTGTGGAGAGTTGGCATCTGATGACTGCGATGACAAACAGCAGCAATGCACACTGTCTCAATTTCTCATGAATTTCATCATAGATGTACTTGTGCACATAACTACAAGTGACTTCAGAGACTCAGGGATTCACTCGTTACCATCACGGAATAATCTCTGTGACTTAGAATACGTGGATGATATACTCCTCCTTCCTGGTTGAAGACGCTGAAAAAACGCAAAGTCTTCTGAACACCACGAGCTGAGCAGCGATCTCCGAATCCTGGACATGCGATTCCCGTGCTCCTGTCAAATGTAAGATGATATTTGCTACAGGAATGAACTACATCCACTCACTTATAGCTCAAAGATAGACAGGAATGAAATGGTTGGTGGAGCGTATCAACCACTTCACTTATTTGAGAAGTTGCACCAACCACTGGGAAACGACCCAATGGCTCATGAATTCCAAATTCCACCAATTCACGATGTAGCGCGAGTGGCACTAGCCAATTGACATCGGTGAGTATTCGTCCTGAATGACTGGTTTTAACATAGAAATTTGCACAGATGTGCAGCAGTTCCAGTTGCCATACTCCCTCCATGTAGAACATACAACGCAAGAGAAAAGAGTACAGAGAGATTCAAAACAGAGATAATAAATAGAAATATGAGGCAAAAAGAATAGTAATATCGAAGAACAACAGAATTTAATTAGATATGACAAATCACAAGGAGTGAATGAATCTGCACCATCATTGAGAACGATTTTAAGCTATATCACCAATTGTCTCCAGTCATCATAGGTTCTTACCACCCCAATCACCCCAAACAACCAGGAAGTCTACATCCCCCGACAAGGCTGCTTCTAACTAGCCATTATGGATTTCATGGACTGATGAAGCCATGTTTTCGTTTGACCACCACTAGCTTTCTCTTTTCCAACTTGATCCATCCTATGTCAGTCAGCCAACAGTGCCTGTTATCGAGGAAGGCGATCCAAAGCCCTCAGGATGGTCGGGGGTGGGTGCCTTGCGCTGCGGGTTGGCCACCCTTCCGCACACCTCTCGAAATGCTCCCATATGACCAGGGCGTCTTACATAGCCTCTCCTGAGGAAGTCCTACTTACTGCCTTCACGTGGCGGAGGTGTTTTTCACCAAAGTGAGGGGGCGAAAGCGGATGCCCGGCGCTCTTCACCGGGTTGACTGTCCATTGGATGACAGTCTAGGGGAGATGGCTAAACCCTGATTCCAAACCTCCAACGACTGGCGTATGAAGCTCACTGGAGCTCACCGACAGACGTATGGACAAAGGGCTTGTTGGGTGTCTTGGATGTCTGGCCCCATTCAAAAAGGCGTGTATGAACCGAACTCCGGTCACCGGCTGCCAATGGATAGTGGACTCCCTACTCCACTCCTACTGCCTTGTAGGTCACACTTGGTTGTGTAAAGGCTAGAGCTGCACTCTCAAACAAAAGGCCGAGCGATTCTGGGGACATCACTCGTACCAAATTCCCATGAAACTTCATGAACTCTCTTAATTGGATAACCCTGTCGCAAAACGTTGCATCAGATCGCCGCTCCTGGGCAGCGATGATTCGAGATGTTCATGAAGCCGGCTCATCCTCCCGTAGGAGATAGCCGAAGTAAAGAAGTAAAGAAGAAGGCGATGGATGGCTAGGGATGCATGCGTAACACATGTCATAACCATCTCAATCGACATAACTTCACAACCCCAACTGATGCCTAACCTCAATATTATTCACCCTATTATACCACCACCTAACACGGGATATAGATGGAACGCAGACACCTATGATCAAAGACAAATAGTCATATCTCCCACTTCAAATAGACGTCTCACAGGCAGCCATAAAGTAGGTTGTAGTGAACTGCTGAGCAGTACACACGTGCTTTGGTCGACAGCCAGTCGAATATCACGTCTACGCTAGAGATGGCGTTAGTTGGCAGGCAGATGCCACAGGAACCTTCTGTACCTGTGCTGAGATTTCATCAGAAATCAACGCGCCGATGTGTCAATCACACAACAATACTGTCACATTTTCATCATATACCAAGCAATTACCATATTCTAAATCTCAATGTTAAATTAGACATAATCAAGTTACAAAATTAATAAAGATACAACCACGACTAACAGACCTGTTGAATTATGTGAGTACGAAGAGATGTGCCACACAAATCGCTGTCTCATAATATGTAAGAGGGCTGGGATACCCCACTTGGAGTTCCAGGTTGAAGTAGGTAGTTGTCTTAGAGGACCACCACCTCCCCACCCCCAGCTTCAAGTCTGATTCAAAAGGCAGTGGAGCGACCGGCATCAAGAGCTGAGTCCCCATGGCTGCCTGTGTCCAGAACAGGTTCATAAGCTATTTCTTCCTTACGGATTCTGGAGCTCATCTACACCAGAGGATTGAAATTATGGTTTTCCAGCTCTCCTACGTCAACCTAAATGTCCACTAGTCTAGTTGTTATCGTCATATATTTGAATTTGCTCTATGACTTTTGTAAGAAACACTTTCCCTGTGGTGTGAAATTAATGAAATAGGACTTAGTTGGTAGAGGCTATGAACATGCATGGCCACATGACAGCATTTTTCGACAGGAAGACACAACAGTAACAGGTTATTAATGGAGACCAAAAAGAATAATAAATGGCTATTGACTAACATATTAAGACGCTGAATACTGGGAAATAGTGACCAATAGGGTACAGCAGGTCGGGTGTCGGGACAAATATTCGCCAGATATGACATTGGTTAGTAGTTGCGCTATATCGTGAATTGGAGGAAGTTGGAATTCGTGGACTGGCCATTGGATTGGCGGGTCCCAGTGGCTGAATGGTCTAGGAGCTCGCCTTGTAACCAGAAGGTGCTGGGTTCGAACTCCAGTGGGTGTGTACTGCTGAATAGTCCCAAACTAGGACTACAGAAACAGCTGTCCAGTACTCCCTAGTGGTTTCTCAATGGTTTTTTAACCGATAGCAGCTCATGATAAAATCCTCCAAGCAATCAAACAAAATCTCTACAAAATCAATACTTGAAATTTATTGATTTACATATTATGACTAGTCTCCTTACTTAACATGGTATTTTTTTATACTTAGTGTTCGTTGAGTTCCGTTGATGCAAACTCCTACAGTTGTTTATCTATACTGCTTTCGGATAAATAACACTAATGACTACAACTCATCCACAGAATAGAGATAACAGTATCAAAAATTAACAAAACTTTTACAACAAATACTTTACTTACTTACTTACTCATATTCCAAAAGTAAAGACGACATACACGTTGAACACAATACTTAATTCCAAGATTATACGCTTTTAATGGATAACCAATGAATAGAATACCAACATCATCAGGAGTCCATATTGGTTCATTTGAAGCCAGGTTAAGATTATTTTCTTTCAATGGGGCCAGTGTAACAGTTTTAGTAGTGATATCGAGTACACAAATTATTGGTTTATGCACGCCTTCATTGCCTTCTCCCCAATCCTCTTGAAACGCAAAGGATGAATCACCTCCACAAGACTTAATCAAGTAAAATACATACATATATATGTTAAAAAACAAAAACGAATCATACATATATGAATATATTAAACACATTGGATGGATACTAGATAGTAACTAGTAACATCATGCGTCTAGTCCTTTGTATTTTGGTGTAGATTGAATTCTACGGCCTTCAAGTTTGCAATGTGGTCACCATGCCACTAGGTGGCTCAACCATCACAGTGTACTGTGAATTCTTGACATTAGATGGTTGGCTCTCACTTGTTAGCAAGGCGTATCTGAAGCCTTAAAGGAACTCATGTCCATTCTGAGATTCAAACCAGCATCACCCAGTGAGTGCTGCAGTCAGACACGTTACCACTGAGCTATTCAGGATTTTCGGGCCGCCTCAAGTAATGAACACATCCCGAGGATCCCAACCAGGAAGTCTACATCTCCCTCCGTGTCTGGCTTAAACTAACTGTTGTGGATTTCATTGACCGATGAAGCCATGTTTTGTTTTGACTACCACTGGCCCTATTCTAACCCTATCTAATGTTACCTAAAAGTCAATAAGCCACACCCCTGTCTCTGATTATCAAACAGGTATACACGGAAACACAGGAATTCTCCCGGAAAGGTATGTTACAAAGTCTACTTTAACATACTTGAATTTTCTATAGTTGGTTTGTAAGGATTAGATTTGTTTTTACGAGTTTGACCACGGATTGATATCAGTTAGAGAACCATTGAAAACCAGCCACAGGGAGTACTGGACAGCTGTTTCATCCCACTAGTTTGGGAATCATCGGCAGTACGTACCCACTGCCAGGGTTCGAACCCAAGACATTCCGGTTACAAGCAAACAAACTCGTATACCATTTAGCCACTGGGACCCAATTCAATGGCCAGCACATGAATTCTAACTTCTACCAATTCGTGACATATTTAGCGTGACTGGCACACACACCCCAATGTTGTCGCTGACGAGCATTCGAAATCATTTCCGACCGGGATGTACGCTACAGGTCACCTTCAGGATATCAGATGGCAGATATAAGATTTTAATGACTTTCAGTGGAAAATACATTTACCGTTTTATTTGTTGTGATAAAAAGTGACCTTTTAGCTTCACTGGAATATGCAAAAGAATCAACAACAAAAAAGATGCAAAATAGAGAAAAGAAAATTACCTCTGAAGAATCACCAGATGCCACGTCTTCTGCAAGATAGACAATTTTATCTCTTGCCTTTGACCAAGCAGCTCCATGAAATGATCCACCCTCTGTAGGATATACACGACCATGAAGAGCATTGGGAGGAGTTGTTGGAAGTTTTACAATGTTTGAAAGACGTCCATTAATCCATATTTGTACAACAGTACTTGCTTCTTCACAATCAGCTGTGATAAACTTTGATGAATTTGACGTTACTTGTCGTGGTGGTGGAAGAAGAAACCGGTTGGATGCATACAGCTCTATGACAACCATCTGGTGTTTGTATATCCCAAACAGTGTGTCCATTATTCTGTTGTACACTAGAAGGATAACCTTTCCCAAATGAAGAGAAGTGTAATTGTGAGGCATATTTCACCTGCAATTTTTCATGATTACTACATGGTACCTTTATTAAATGTGTTCGTGTGTATGTAATATTATCTTTACGTAGAATGTCAATTTGATTCCACTTAGAAATGATCGAATACTCCTCGTCATCATTGTGACATTTAAAAATACGAACTTCCGATACTTCGGGAGTGTTGAAGGAGGCGAACAACGTTGACAATGACTTCGTTGGCAGCATAGATACTAAAAACAAAATTAATTTTAACAGCAAAGTCAACTGGGTTCAGTCATTGAATGAGGAAACATGAGAAGTAGTCACACACACACACACGCACACAGAAGAAATAATAATCAGGTCCCAGTGGTTCAGTGGTTTACGAGCCCGCTGGTCTTGTAACCAGAAGGTCCTGGGTTCGAACCCTGCCGGTGGGTGCGTACTGATGAAGAGTCACAAACTAGGACGAAACCGCTGTCCAGTACTCCCAGGTTTTCCAGTAGTTCTCTAACTGATGCCAGCTCATGATGAAATCCTCTATCCAATCAAACGAAATCTCTACAAAACCAATACTTGAAAGTAAAATAAATGCTTTTATTTGAAAGAAAATATGAATGTACAGAAATAAATGTAATATTGTTGTTGTCATTGCAAAAGTAATATATATATATATATAACTTTCTTTTCCCCCTCTTTTATTTGCACGCATAAATTACAAGACTATGGGGGACAAAACAGAACAGAACACAATAGAAATAGAAGAGAATAGAAGAGAAGAGAATAGAAAAGAACTGAATTCTACACATTGGAAGGTTTAATATCAGTCAAAATAGACAAAAGTTTTTGTAAGTGAGCATTGAATTCGTTGGAATCTTCAGATAACGGTAGTAGGCATAGAATCCATGATTGAATGAGATTATGATTCTCCTGTCAGAAAGAAAAAAAGAAAGAAAGACAAATCAGTAAAGCCTTTTTTAGGCAATATAGTAAAGCAATAGACACCATCGTCAAATAACCTCGAATCAACCACAATTAAACCTCCTCTTCCGGATGAAAAGTGACATTTAGTGAATGAAAATAGTACATTTATATGATACGTATATGTAATAAAAATGAATTATACAGGATATACGATGAAGAGGCCGTCGAATGACATCGTGCCATCGCCAGGCCATTGCTCGAGTGGATTCCAAATAGGGAGCGACGAATCGGTTGTTGATGCAAGGGTGACACATGGAGGAGATAGTGTGGCGAGGACGAGGAGGAGGAGGAGGAGATGAGAGATTATGGTCAATCGTCGACCCAGATGAAGAGGACGACAGCACAAAATAGAACAACGTGGAAATGTGTTGTTGAAGTTCTATATTCCACTTAGAACCCAAGGGAATAGTTACATATCTCTAATATGCTGCAAAAATTGTTCCCATTTTTTCATAGGAGTGTGTCTATAGACAGATCAAACCAATGTCGATACAAAAATTCATTTATTATTCTAATATGTTTCTTGTATATAGTCTCAGAATTCTTAAGTAGAATTTGTATGAGTTCCACTTGTGGAACTCTCTAATTCAGAAGAATGTTTGATTTTATGATGAATATAGCGTAATGATGACAGTTACGAATAACCTTTCGACTCATCTGGGTGAATGGTAATGCCTGACTTGGGAGGACCAGGCGTTGTGCGTAGACTAAGATCACGCCTTGGTTTGCGCACGTTTATGCTTACGATTAGACAGACATAAAAAGAATTGTTGGCAGCGAAGCACTTACGCCTCCCCCTTCCCAACTTCATCAGTACACCGAGTCCCTATTTAAGGAAGAAATATCGAAACGAGTATCTGAGGTCGACAGCAAGACTCCTCCTGAGGAAGCCTGGAACAACATACAGTTCCTTGTAGACACAGCTATAAAAGCTGTTAATAATCTGAAACCAAAAGTTAATAAGTCAATGGATTTCTGCAGCTTTATCCAATCTGATAGACGCAAGAAGACTGATTCCAGAAGGCTACGAATTTGTTGAGCAGCGAAAGCTGTAAAATTTGGCCTACCGATATTACATGCTGAAAATTTCATACTTGTACCAAAAATACTGTGTGATTTCAAGCTATAATCAAAATAAATAAATAACCAACCGGAGATGGCGTACTATTCCACTGGGAGTGCCAGAGTAAATACTAACAACACTAATTCATATTTCTAAAAATAATTTAACAGAACTGTAATCAAAAATCAAAGTGGGGATTCAAATCTAACAAATACAAAAAGAAAAAAATGTTTAGCTTCAATCAACGCATAACGGAACAACACATGATGCACTTTTTGTCATTACTCATCAATCATAATTATTCCCTTACATTATTAATACTGTAGATCGTATGATGATTTACTTCTCTAAGCACTTTGATAAAGATTCTAATCAATACATAAATAGAATCTCTAATCTCATCAAACTGCATTAGTAGGTTAGTCAATTGCACTTTCAAGTTCTCAACACTACTGAATTATAAAAACGTAAGTTTTATTAGTCAAATATTCTGAGATATATATGTGCTGTCTAGATTTACATATTTAGAATTAAATGCATCAGTATATGCAGTTTACTTAGTTGGGTTAAAAATAAAAAAGAAACTGGTTGAAAGACGACTACTCAGTCGGTCGGTCGGTCGGTTTTCGACATAGAACTTTGCACAAATGTGCAGCAGTTCCAGTCGCCACACTCCATGTAGCACACAAAGCAAGAGAAGAAAGTAGAAGAAATGCATAATAGAGACAGTAAACAGAGGTGTGAGACAAAGGAATAGTAATAACGAAGAACAAAACAGTTTCATTGGAAATCATAAGTCACAAGGAGTGGATGTATCTGCGCCAGCCATTGAGAACGACTATGAGCCATGTCACCAATTGTTTCCAACCATTGGTTTTTACCGTCCCGAGGACCCCAACCAGTCAGGAAGTCTACACCTTCCTACGTGGCTGGCTTAGACTAACTGTTGTAGATTTCATTGACTGGTGCCATGTTTTCGTTTGACCACCGCTAGCTCTTTTCCAGCCTGACCCTATATCAGCTAACATTGCCTGCTGTCGAGGAAGGCGATGACTAGGCATACGTAACACATGTCCTAACCATCTCAGTCGATGTAATTTCACAGTCTCGTCGACTGATTTTCCCTCCTTACCTAGCACTCGACGCCTCACCCAAATATTGCTCACCTTATTATACCACTTCACACGGGAGATAGAACGCAGACACCTATGATCAAAGACAGCTAATCTTTTCATGTCTTCGACTCTCAATGGCCAGGTCTCACAGCCATAAAGGAGGACGGAGCGGACTGTTGAGCAGTACACACGCCCTTTGGTTGATAGTCGGATATCACGTCTACGCCAGAGACGGCGTAAACTGGCATATGCGAAACTAGCCCTCTGTATTCGTGCTGAGATTTCGTCGGAGATCAACCCGTTGGGGCTAATGGTACTTCCCAAGTAAGTGAAGCGGTGAAGTCCAATCTTGCAGCATCATCTTACATTGTACAGGGGCGAATCGCATGCCAAACATACGAAGATTGTTGCTCAAGGTGTTCAGTAGACTCTGCATTTTGTCAGCGTCCTCGCCTAGAAGAACTATATCGTCCGCATATTCTAAGTCGACAAGATTATTCCCTCGTAGCAAGTCAATCCCTGAGTCGCTGAAGTGTGTTAGGGTTAAGTCCATTAGTACGTCTATGATGAAGTTGAATAGGAATGGGGATAATGGGCATCCTTGACGGACGCCACTAGTCGTCACCACTTCAGATGACAACTCGCCATAAGCCCTCACCTGGCTGCATGAGTACGAGTAGAGTGCCTTAATCAGTGCTATGTATTTTCTCGGCATTCCCTTTACAGCCAAGCATCACCAGAGAACCTCTCGGTCGACAGAATCGAATGCCGCCTTTAGGTCAAGTAATATAATGATTGTTGGACACCGGTAGGAATGCCTATGTTCTAGAACCTGTCTAAGGGTGAAGATATGATCTTCCTGGCCTAAAACCTGCCTGGTTTTTTCGTGCTTGTGCACGACTACTCAGTGGACTGAAAATTTCCACAAGTTTTCAGTTAATATGAAGAACACTTGATTACCCGACTGACTGGTTTCAACATAGAACTTTACACAGATATGCAGAATTTTGAGTTCCTACTCTCTATATATGTAACATACTAAACAAGAGAGGAGAGTAAAGACAAATTCAAAAGAAAGATAATTAACAGAAGTGTGAGTGCGGGAAAAGAGAATAGTTACATGGAAGAACAATAGAGTTTTATTGGATATTATAAGTCACAAGAAGTGGATGCATCTGCACCAGCCGTTGAGAACGATTTTGAGCCAACCATGCCACCAATTGTCTCTAACCACCATTGGTTTTTACCATCCATCCTGAGGATCCCGACCAGTCAGTCAGGCAATCTACACCTTCCTGGGTGACTGGTCGGCTTAAACTAACTGTTGTGGACTTCACTGACTAATGAAGCCATGTTTTGTTTTGACCACCACTAGCTCTTTTACAGCCTGATCCTATTTCAACTAACATCGCCCGTCTTGGAAGGCAATCAATGGCTAGGGATGCATGCGTAATACATGTACTAACCATCTCAATCGATGCAACTTCCCCTCCTTATCTAGCACTCGACGCCCAACCTCAATATTTCCCACCCTATTATACCACCTAACATGGGATGTAGATAGAACGCAGACACATATGATCAACGACAATTAATCTTTTCATGTCTTCCATTTAAGCTGTCCTGAAGCTACGTTTTAGTTGTCCATCATGAAGTGTATTTCATAAAGCTGCTCACAAATAAAACGGAGTGGTGATAGTGGACATGAACTTACAGTTAATTACGAATCCCATTTGAACTAAAATACACACCACATGGCTGCATCTGAGGTACTGTGACTTACCATTTACACACAAGAAGAAATATTCTTTTGTGACAAAAAGGAGAACCACTCTGCAAACACCTGCCTTATTCAGTTGTTGGGTCAGTAGTACTTAGAATTTCAACATAAAACAAAAATACTAAGCCGGATTTTAAATGACGTAGGTACTCGAGCTCTCCAGTAGTCAGTTTATAGCCACTACCCGGGAAAGTTATATTCATTGTCTTCACACAAGGCTGAGTATAGCAAAAGTGAAAGCGAGGAGGATATAAGGACCTGCTTATCATCAGACTAATAAACATGGATAATCCCACCTAAGGTAGTTAGA